TCGGGGCGTGGTCTCGATGTGCCCCAAAAGTGTTCTTCCTTGAGCATCGTTCAGCTTCCGTCCAGCATTGCGAAGGGCAGTCGGACGTGGGTGTGGGAGGGTTCATGTGGATGCGGATGGGGAGGACGTGACATAATGCAAACCTCACAAACTTGGTTGCATTATATCGGACTTCCTATCTTTGTTTCTTGCAGCCGTGCTATCGACACTCCGCACTACTTGTTTCGGGCCGCATAATTATATATTTGCCCTCGCACGCTCGGCGGCTGTGTAATCATTGGTGCTGGCCCTGCTAGCAACTTTTTACAGTATCCCACCCGCACCCTGAGCGCAGGTCGTATAACGATTCTTCTCGTCCCCTTCTTCCCCAATTCGGGGAAGGGGGTTCGCCCCTGGGTCTGGACGGGATGGGCGAGGGGGTAGAGGGGGGTTCGTTGCCCAAGATGGCCGCACATCGCTCAATATTGCCTACAAGGTGGCGTAACATAGAGCAAGATGGCTCAATATAGCTTCAAAGTGCTTTAAAGAGGCTCCAAGACGGCCCCAAGGATACTCCAAGTGCTCCCAGAGCTTCCTGAAATCAATCGTTTCTACCTTTTCGCCTTTTCGCTTCCCTAGGGCTTGTGATGCAAGATGGCGCAAACATCGTTCAATAGACCTCCGCAAAAGCGTCCTGAGAAGACCCCGCAATCATTCTCTCGGCCTTTGAAGAGGGGCCCTTGTCGGCGCAACCCTTTGTTTGAGCCATCGCTTCGAAGATGGTCCCAAGACGTTCTCCAGGGCCAAGATGGTCCCACAAGAGCCTCAGAGCCCCAAGAGAGCCCTAAAGCCCAATGTTGCCCTGCGGGGCATGCTGCATGTCGGCATGCGCGCTTGTCGGCGTGGGAGAAGTTCCCCCGAGGCGGTTGCGTACGTCTCACAGAACGAAGATCTCAAAGTCTCAAGCAAGCCTCCTTCCATCAAACTGCCTCTCTTACCTTCTTCACTCTCTCCACCTCTGGGCGTGGATGGGCACCCCCAATTCTGTCGCTACCAGTTCATCGCGGCAATACCTCGATACGAGCATTGTAAACAATTGACGCGGAATGGAAGCGCCGGCGCAACAAGTATCCAGGGAATCTGAGATGATGATACGGTGACATGCTTTTGATCCCAACTGCCCTTAGCCGGTTCCCATCCCTCACCCTCTTCTTTCCTTCCTCCGTCGCCCCATCTTCCTTATCCGTGGAACGCCTCCTTCTCTCCCTGCCGGTCCCCGTCCCCCTTCTCCCTACTTTTCCCACGCTGGCTATAGAGCATTCAGGGTGCCACTCGGCCAATGACTTGTGAGAGAAAAGCAGCGGCCCACTTCACGAGAGGGGCGACAGGCAAAAAGAAAGCACAAGGAAACCAACGAGCCCCAGCGGGGCCTCGGGTCCTGCCTCCCCCTCCTCCTCCTCCTCCTCCTCCTCCTCCTCCTCCTCCTCTGCCTCCTCCCTCCTCTCGTTCCCCACTTTCTTGCTCCGCGCTCCGCAGAACCACGCGCGCCTTGAGCGGATCGCGGGGGAGCGCGGGGAGGGCGCGCCGTGGCTTGGCACGGGTTATCGTTGGCCTGCTCGCTCGCAAGCGGTGGCGCTCGCCGTCCGAATTCCAAAGGCACCAGAGCGCGTGAGGAGGAGGAGGAGGAGGAGGAGGAGGAGGAGGAGGAGGAGGACGAGGAGGAGGAGGAGGAGGAGGAGGAGGAGGAGGAGGAGGAGGAGGAGGAGGAGGAGGAGGAGGAGGAGGAGGTGAGGAGGAGGAGGAGGAGGAGGAGGAGGAGGTGAGGAGGAGGAGGAGGAGGAGGAGGAATGAGGAGGCGGAGGAGGAGGCGGAGGCGGAGGCGGAGGAGGAGGCGGAGCACACGTGAGCCACCTCCGACGCCCTGCCCCTGCCGGCGCCTCGCCGCCCCCACTCCAGATCCGCCCCACTTCGCCTGATTTTCTGACGGAGACTTTGTTGTGTCGGAGGTGCAGCCTGGACGCTACGGAAAGGAAGGGCGGACAGCGCCGCCTCGGAAAAGCTGACTGGATGTTTCGACAACAAGTATGGCTGGCGGAAACTGCGATGGCAAAATGCGGCGGAGAACGACATCCAAGGAGCTTGAAAAGTAGGCCCGAAATTTCTGCCCTACTTGCGAAATCGCCCAAACTACGGCGGATCCGTAGTCAGAGCTTCCCTGCCCTGGCATTGCCCCCCGATCCCCTCCTCACCCTGCTGCCGCTGCCCTCCCAGCGCAATGCTCGCTCGTTCCCTCACATTCCCTGGTGTGCTGCGCTGGCCACGCGGGAGGCCCTCCTTGCCTCGCGCCGCAACTCCGATCCCCCCGATGCCAGCCCCTCCTCCGCTTCCCCCATCCCCGAGAGAAGGCAGCAGAGGGGGAATCGGACGGGTCTCCATCAAAGGGAGGAGTGGGTGGCTAAGGGCGGGGGAGAGAGGCGGGGATGCTTGGAAAGAGGAGGGAGGGGGAGAGAGTGCGAAGGGGGGAGGAGGGGCAGCTGAGAGGTGGAAGGACCGGACGCGGGAGGCGCAACAGAGGCCTCCTGCCGCAAGACTTCCCCCCCGGTGCTCGCCGCGGCGGTCCCCAGAGCCCTGGCTGCTGGCCCTGCTTGGGGGCCCTGTGAGGTTCCTCCTCCTCCTCTTCCTCCTCCTCCCTCCTCCCTCCTCCCTCCTCCCTCCTCCCCCCTCCCCCCTCCCTCCTCCCTCCTCCCTCCTCCCTCCTCCCTCCTCCCTCCTCCCTCCTCCCTCCTCCTCCTCCTCCTCCTCCTCCTCCTCCTCCTCCTCCTCCTCCTCCTCCTCCTCCTCCTCCTCCACGGCCTCGAAACTGCTGCAGACATCCCCCGTGCTCCCCGTGCGAGCTCCCCCGTCTTGCCATCGCTCGGACGCCCATTCCCCGTGCATGTTTCGGTTCCGTGCGTTTCCTTTTTTCCTCGCAAGAGGATCCAAGATGCTCCTCGATGGCCCTCGCCGAGGAAGAGAACGCACACGTCCGAGCGATGCCAAGCCTCCACCCTCTTCACCATGGCGCTTCCCCCCCCCCCCTCCTCCCTCCCAGGCCTGAATGGCGTCAGCCCTTCCCCCCTCCCCGCCCTCCTCCCTCCCGGGCCTGACTGGCGTCAGCCCCCCCCCCACCCCCCGACAGAGCGAAGCCCCCCCTCCCCTCTTCTCCCGGGCCTGAATGGCGTCAGCCCCCCTGCGGTCCTCCGCACCCTCTGCGGGACCCTAGCTCACACCTGTGTCGCTAGTGTTTTCGAACCCTTTGTGCGCCAATCCATCGCTTTGGTTCCACCACGAAGCGGGCCGTTCTCCTGATATCTCCTGTTGACCAACTGATTGTTCGGAGTCCACATGTAGTTATCGACGGGCGGATCTCATTTTAAAGTCCCGACTAGGCGACCAAGGCGAGCGACTGGCCCTGCGATTTGACCATTGCTACCTCGCGCTCTTGTCAGCGTATTTGGCCCCGTTCTGCAACCCGTTACGTGTGCGACAGCTCTTGCGCTTTGCTGCGTCATCTCTCTGTATAAACAAAGAGATAGAAACGTGCACACAAATTGCATGACATCCCCCTTGCTGTATTTTTACAGGCTGGGGGGGTGGAACCGTTCCGCCCAAAACGTGACCCCCTGGATCTGTGGTCCCGGGGGCCCCCTCCCCTGGACGCCCCTACAAAAGGTCCCAAGCTTTCAGGTGCTCCTGGAAGCCCCTGCCGGGCCAAGGCGGCAAGCCCAAATCTGGCAGGAGGGCGGCCGAACGGCCCCGCGAAGGCCACAAGAAGCGCCATACACCACCAGACACCCGTCAACGACCCAAAGAAGACCCCCAAGAGGCCTCCGAGACGCAAAACAACGCTCAGATCTTCGGTCTTCTTCTGGGCGTCCGAGACTTCCCATGCTGTCTGGAAACCCAAAAGGGCTCCCAGGCAGTCAACATGAGCTCCAAGACGGCCCAAGAGGGCCCGTTCAGGGAGACCGCGGTTGGAAGCAGGATGGCCAGAGGAAACCACCGAAGGCCCCCAGAAGGCGCCCAGGAGGCCTCCAGAAGGTCTCGAGAAGCCCTTACAATCTGTCGTAAGGCCCCCAAGAGGCTCTCCAAGGAGGTGCCTCCGCAAAAAGAGCTGAGAAGGATTGAGAAGAATTCGCAGAGCAGGGCGAACATGAGGAAGAGGAAGAGGAAGCATGAGGGAAGGATACGTGGTCACGTTGTTATATCGACGATGCCAGAAAAAAGGGCAACATTGACTTATCGTTGAATCGTAAGTTCTGCCTTCCTGCCCTTCTGTCTGCATACCAAACTCCAAGGACCAGGGTGCATGGCGCGAAGCGTCAACGCGATCTTGCATGTGTATCTGTAAGTATACATGAATGTATTTGTTTCTGGCGCGCTCTTCTCGGTTTTGCCAATGAACGCGCCATTCCGTGTGCATCGGTCCACGGCTGCTTGAGCCGTGGCGTCAACTCAAACTGCTTCCGTTGCAACTTTCGTTCCAACATGGAACCTTTTCTGGCCTCCTCCTCCCAGGGTTCGCTTGTCCTTTCCAGGTCTCCGACGTATATGCGATATGCTCCAATCTCCCACACACGGCGCCCCGAATGCTTCTGCTTATGTTTCCGCGCCTCCACTAGGGTTGCCTCGAACCTACTCCCGCCATGGGGCTCTGTCTCAATCGACACACCCGCCGATTCGAGCCACGAGTGTATCTATATAGCGCGCTCTTCTCTATGTACTTTCGGTTCCCAATGTTCGCGATATAGAGAAGACACTGCGAGTTGCTCCTTGCGTGCTTTCAGAACCTGCGTATCCAAACACAAAACCGCTCGCCACAACATGGTATTATGCCACTCGTGGTTTCGATCAGCCTCGCCGGCCCCGTGTACACTGCCATTCTCTCGATCTGCACCCCCCTGCGGTCGCGATCGCTGCTGGCCTCTACTCTTGCGAAGCCTCAAGCAGAACTACCTCGCGGGTATGTCTGCGCATACCCGTCACACCTCAAGAGTGGGGGGGGACGACACAAGATGGAATCGAATGTAACGTAGAGCAACGAATATCAGCAACCATCTGGGGACGTATGTGTGGACACCACCGAAGTTTAGCTGATGAGATGATAGAAATAACGAATCAAGATAGCTCGTGGGATCTCGTGGTCCAATTCCCATCTCCTACATTGTTACTGCTTTGACGCTCGTCCTTCGTCCCCTGTCCCTTGGCCAAACTGCTCATGCATTCTACCTTGCTGTTGGCAGGGCACCGAACTAACATCGGACAAAGATAATTTCTTTGGCTGAGTAGCACGTGCACAGAGGAACGAGGGATCAGGAACAAAACACATACTGGGGGGATGCACAACGAAGTAAGTATACATTGGCTGCATCATGCAGGCAACCTTTACAAGCTATGACAAGGGTACCTAGCGCATGCATGGACTCTACACTGGAAGGCGAAAGTGCCACAACCGTAATTCAACCGCCATCCCATGTACCAGCTAATATTTTCGGTATCATGCTGGTGGTAGCAACTCCCGTGCGCTGGTGAAGTCGATTCTCAATTTTCTGAGGCTGCCCATTACTACGAACCATCTGAGAAGCGCCTGCTGGATAGCTGCTTTCCTCCCTCCAATCTCACTCCTTCCTCTCCCCATCTCCCTCCTTCCTTCCCTCCGTCCATGCTGCTGCTGCAACTCCTTCTCCCTCTCTGGTGCTGCCTCGTTTTCCACGGCGATCAGCCCCTGCGCCTGGACGCTCGCGCAAGGAATGACGGATGCAAAGGCAAATGATGAGGCATGAGAGGAGTAATCTACTGGGAACGCAGTGTACGTGAGGGACGGGAATGGGAGGAGGAGATAAGCCACACTCAATGATCAATGGAATCGGAGGTTGGGGTGAGATCACAGCGGAACGCAGAGCCCCCCCCCACTGGGAAATCGGTCTCGGTCTCGTGTTCGTGTCGTGCGTGTGGGCGGGGCGAAGCTGCGTGTGCGCGCGAGAGGATTGATGCCGCCGCCCCCCCCCCTCCCCTGCGCGAAGTGGCCGGGGTGTCCCTTCGGTGGCCCGTCGGTGGCGCCGGGTGTCCCGACGGTGGCTCTGGGTGTCCCGCCGTGTTGTCTCGATGGTAGCTCGTGAGATCAATTGTGAGATCGATCTCGAGATCGCTTGTGAGATCGATTGCGTGATCGATCGTGATCGTGGGATCTAGAGACGATCTGAAATCAATCACAGCAGACCTTTGGCTGAGGGTGTCCCGCCGTGGCTGGTGGTGCCCCATCGTGGTGCCTCGTGAGATCTCTTGTGAGGTTGGTCCTGAGATCTCTTGTGAAATCGATAGTGCGATCGATGTCGAGAGCAATAGTGAGATCGATGGTGAGATCCATTGCGCGATCCATAGTGAGATCTGTTGTGAGATCCATCGTGGGATCTGCTCTGAGATCGATAGTGAGGTATGTTATGATATTGATGGTGAGATCGCTAGTGAGATTTATGGTGGGATCGGCAGTGAGATCGATACTGAGATCGATTGTGAGATCGATTGTAAGACCGATAATGGGTTCGATGGTGAGATCGATTGTGAGAACGAGTCCGAACCATGGAGGGGGCGCTCGAGCTCCTGGGGTCTACCGGCGTTCCCGCCAGCCTCGACAGAGGCACGGTCTTATGAAGCAGCGCCTGCACACGACGATTGGGGCACTTGCCCTGGCGGAGCCTCCCGAGGACCTCGGAGCCCTTTCTCGTCGGCGGCTCGCGACTGCGGCCGAGCTTGCGAGCTCGTCGTCGGGAGCGCCCTCCGCAGTTCAAGCAGACGATATCTTGCTCTCGGGGTGCAGGGCGACGCGACGGCGACGAGGCACCAGAAACAGTTTCTCGGGCCGTCGATCCAGCCCAGGCGACGAGGCTATGCCCCGCGGGAACAGAGAGCATTTATCAATCACCTTCGGCACGCCTGGGCAGCCATTCGTGCGCAGCTGCTCTCGAGGGCCTTCAGCCAGAGCCAGGCAACATCTGCGCTGTGCGCCTAACTCGCCGAGCTGCCAGTCGTGCCGGGAGACAAAACGCCGAGACCTAGAGGCAAACGTCTTGGGCGGGCGTTTCCACCGAACATTCTTCTGCAAAAGGGGCAGGACCTCCGCGGCAACTTTCATGAACCACGAGGCCCGTTGGGCCACCAAATCCAAATCAGCTAAAAACTGGGGCGACGGACTCGGGTGGGTACTTAGGGCAACTTTCGCCTGCTTATCCACCGCCGAATTCGCATGTGCAATGTGCATATATATATATATATGTATATATTCCAGTGCCCTCCAAATCATCGAGGACCACTTCTGAGCGGTGCGCTTTGACATGCTGGACTGACTGCATGAAGGGCGCCCCCTCCAGCTGGAGGGCGACTTGTCTTATACCTGCAAACTTACTAGATGCACTGAGCTGACGCGAGACCTGCTGCTGACAAACTCGCACCGCCGCTAAACTATCAGATGCGAGCTGAACCTCTCGCGTCGCCACTTGTCCGCAAAGAGCGATGGAAACGTGTTCAGCCATCGCTAGAGTCTGGGGGAGCTGGCCTGGGACTATCCCGCGCAGGACAGCAACGGGTTCATCCCCGGCATCTGGGCACACTGCGATCGCCCAGGAGGCTCGGCGCAGCGGCCGCAACAACTGCTTTCTACAAGTTCCGTTTGAGGCAAGGCGGAGAGGAGCAGCAGCAGTGAGATATGCAATCAGATTAGGTTCCATGTCCAGTGGGTTGCCGCTGCCATCAAACACCTCGCACTCCGTCGACGCGGGCGGAAGGGCTTGGCAACTCACTGTCCTGATACGTGAAAACTCCACTGGTGAAAACGGGCTCCTCGGGGCTGTCCCTGGCGATGTCCAGGAATTCGGGGGGGACCTCGGCTTTTGACGGTCTGCAGCTACATCTTCTAGCTGGCGCAAGTACAGCCTGTGATGGACTGTGTCCCTTTCCCCACAAGCACAAAGCCCGTCGCGCAAGTGCCCCGCCCTCTCGGCACGATCGTTGGTCCACAATCCTTGGCAGGCAGCGCTCTTGATTACATATTTCTGATATTGGGAAAACTTACGGGCCTCAGTCCCGACTCGGTCTCGAATCAGGTCTAAAGTCGCTCGCGTGCCTGCTGGGAACCCTAGCATCCGAGCGTACCTGAACTCTCTCTGCCTTTGAACTCCGAGCTTTAAAATATCGGCAAGCTGCGCCGGTGGGGTCAAGGCGATGTCTTTGTGTATCTGATTATGGCCGATCCATCTCAAAGGTCCCTCCACTCGCCAACCAGCGCGACCGAGACACAGCGCGGCTCTAGCAAGGGGGCCTCTGGAATGTCGCCAATCCGTGCACTCTGACGGCCTCGAAAGCTCCCAACGTCTCAGAAGTTCGGGCATACTTATAAGAGAAAGCTCTGGGCGAGTCGCAGCATTCCAGCACATTCTACATCGCTGGATTGCGAGCGCCAAGGCTAGCCTAGTGCTAACATCTCCGTTTAAAACAACCTTGGCAGACAGGGGGGCACCTGCGCGGGACGGGGTATCACTTTTAGCTGCTAATTTGTTGTGGCTGAGCCACTCCGCGGCACTGAGCCCCAATACCTCAACCCCCAAAAAACTACTGGCGGGGGCGACCCCTTGTTTGTGCACTTTCTTGAAAGGGGTCTCCTTGGGGCCCTTGAAACGCTGGCGGAGGGCTCGGGTTTTGCGAATTCGTTTGATCATATCTGTGAGACGTTTCTTGTGCTTCACTCGGGCCTGTTTCTCACCGCGTTGTCGTTCAGCAGCTTCGTCAACTCCGAGGTGGGAGACGGACGACTTGCAGACGCACCTGGGGAAGCCGAGCTCGTCGCGCACAAGATGGGCCAGAGTGTCGGACGTTGCAAGGATGGCGATATTGTCCTGCTTCAAGCCAGCGTTGAGCTCTTGACTGGCTGCCATGAACTCTCTGGGAGCTTCGACAGCAACTCCCTTGGCGATGTCGAAATCATTGGCAGAATTGTGCAAGGCGCTGTCGTCTATGTAGTTCTGAAAATCTATCGTAGGAGCATTTAATATCAACATATACTATTCAACTGCATGGACTTTGATGCCAATGTCGCTGTAAGCGTCACCCGCTAGCATCCCGATCTTGGCGGACAACACCTCCTGGGCGTGGTGCCGCCCAACTTCAGCCAGCAGGTCGGCGCGCCGTGACGAAGAAACTTATACCTGGGTGCTACCAACGGGATCGATTCGCAGTACTCGGGGCAGTCAACGACGGTGACAACGACGCGCCTGTGAGAAAAAGAAAGGGTCAGACTCAGTCCTGTCCGCGAGCACCCATGCACAGTCCATGGCAGACCTGCCTCTGCTGGCTCCCCAGTATTTCTGATCCAAGGCATCGTGCATGAACTTAATGCATGGGCGCCGAGCTCGCTGCCAGAAACTGTAGGTTCCAGCGTAAAGAACTATCGACCTGTTGCTTCCGCTTGGTTTGCCCAGCATCGGCATCTGGATCCAACAAATCTGACGTGGAAGAACTCCAATACATTCTGAAGCCTGGAAGATGGACGCCAACATTTCCAAGCCGTCGCCATCTATCATCGTGAGGTGCCTCGTGTGGCAGTTGTCGAAAGAGGCCGCGGTACCAGCAGGGAAACTCTTCGCCGTGCTGCGGATCTCATCTGGCGTTAGTCTCGGGCATGAAGTCCTGTCAGGAATCCAAGCCTCTGAAGGTTTGTCTGTGGCGTGCCACAAACGTCGGTGCAGCTCCACTTCCTGCTGGACTATGATCACGGGGTCGCCAGACTGGATCCCAAGTGCCACCGCTAGGGCGGACGAGGAGGAGGAGGAGGAGGAGGAGGAGGAGAAGGAGGAGGAGGAGGACCGAGGAGGAGAAAAAAGAGGAGGGAAGGAGGAGTGGATGGGGGAACCAGGCCCAAAAAAGGAGGCACGCCTCAATTCTCTTTCTTCCCTGGGGCCTTCTCCTGGACGCCTGCGGGGTTGTCGCCAGACGTCTGGCCGGACATGCAAGAAGCTGGGGAGAAGGAGGGCTGAAAACCGCCGAGCGGCGGGCCAACTATGGCTGCCTCTTCCCTCGTCCGAGCCACGTCCCGCCATTGCCCTCCCGTTCCTCTTCCTCCTCCTCCTCCTCCTCCGCTCCTTTCCCCCCCTCCTTCTGCTCTCCTCCTTCCCCCCCTCCCCATTCCTCCCTACCCCCCCCCTTCCTCCTCGCCCCCCCCTCCTCCTTGCGCTCTTCTCGCTCCTTCTCCCCCGCCCTTCCATTGCCAACTTTTTCGCTGCTGCCTGGCGCGATCTTCGAAAACGGACGCATCTGGGGTGAGCCAGTGAGGGGGCGCAGTGGGCCGCGCAGCCTCTAGCGACGACGCGACCACGCGGGTGGCAACGGGCCCTCCCGGTTGAGCACGCGGGGTCGGATCGGGTCAGGGGTCGGATCGGGAGCGACGTGCGCATAGGCACGCCTTGTTCGAGCTGCTGCAGTCTTCCCTCGACGTCACCAAGCAGCCTTCTTCCACTTTCTCAGCCCAGCGCTTTCTCTCAACCCCGACCTATCGTACTCTGTCGCGTTCTCTGAGTCTCGCAACATCGCATCTCTCTCAGTCGAACACCAGTCCGTTACTGCACCCTCTCATCCCATACTTGTCACAAGTTTCTTAATGTTCTCCTCAGTCTCGCGATTGGTCGCGTGTCAACCCCTGCCGAAACTCCTCCGGAGCATATCTTCCGCATTGCGGCAAGACTTCGACCTGCCCGTCGTCAGCTTGAACGCTCTCCAGTCGCAGTGCCCAACGGCGGCAGACCCAATTTGACAAGACTTTGGCTTACCCACGTGCAATAGCAAGCCTGCTGCGCTAGCTAGGTCGTTTATTGCAACGTCCGACGTAAGTGCGCCCTGGTGATTCTAACCGGGAGGAAGATACCGTCTGCGAGACGCACGTTTGTTGGTGTGTGCGAACCCATTTTTGAGACCAAACCTGTCACCCCTTCATTATTATGTGAGGTCCCGCCTACATGATTCGAGCACAGCATTGAATAGAGCTTGTGACATCGGATCGCCCAGCTTCGTGCCTCTCTCGGCTCACCCAGCCAGACGCGACTTGCCCCGTCTGGCCTGCGCTCACCCGGCGCAGTACTTGCATATGCGCAGCGGGAACTTTATACGGACGCACAGCAGACCAAATCGCATAATGGGTCACAGTCGCAAGCGGTTTACCAAAGTCTGCAGCAACGATGCACAGTTTAAGGGTGTGCTGTTTGAGCTCTCTTTCGAAAAGCGTCAAGGCTATCAAATGTTCATCGCAACCGGATCTTTTCCGAAACTCCGCTTGATCGAAGCATCTGTCAGCTGCGAAGTACTTCGCAAGGCGATTGTTGAAAACCATGGCAAATAGCCAACGCAGAAGGGAAATGGTACAATTTGGGTGATAATTGCCAGGTGGTTTCGGGTCGCCTTCGTGAATATCAGTTTTTTGGTAAGTGCGCCTCCAAGACTGTGGCGGCTCGCCTACATGGACATGATGCTAGTGGATACACGCGCCGAGCACTTCTTTCAGATATGGCCAGCTGGCCTTGAACATGTCTGTCACCAATGCCATCCGATCTTGTTTGCCTTGATCCTCTATAGTTCTTCTCATCTGTAATTGACGACATATCGATTGTCTTGGCGCTGTCTCCCATACTGTGCTGGTGGTTATTGCTGCCCTCCCTAGAGCGGTGCTCCTCGTAGAAAGCTGTCAACACGTCAACTATGCCTTGACTGTCCGAACGCAGGTTCCCCGTTCAGCCAATGACTCTTCTTAGGCACAGCATGGATGCGATGCGGTCAGTGGATCACGGGGGAATCATTAATATCAAACCCAAGAACCGTCAGAACCGACGACGTGGACTCACCAAGAAAAAATGAAGGGGGGGGTCGCAAAACTGACGGAAACACCTCCCTCACCACTAAGAGAGGGTCACAAAAAACTGACGACCACCACCTGGGGAACTGCGGGGATATTGCAGCGAAGAGGAGGGTTGGGAATTCTGACGACGGCGCGGCCGCCCGACCCGTTAGTCCCCTTTGCCGAAAGTGAACCGACGACGGCGCGGCCAGAAAACCCCTAAGTCACTTTCTATTGGAGTCGCGCTAGTGATGTCGGTGGCTTTTTGAATTACTGCAGGATCAAGTCAAGACTCTCTGTCTTTCGACGTCGCTCTCATTTGCTTAGTTCTCGCTGTCCTCCTTTCGTGATGACTTTCGCCAGCCTGCATCCAGCCCGTGCTGCGCGAGCTGCATGCCTTTCAGACATCACCTGTATGATGAAAGGGAGGATTTCCTTGTGTGGCTCCTGCTTCACCGAATGTCGCCCTCCAAGCTGCTGGTCTGTCTGCGATACGCAAAACTCCATATGCTCACCTGTGACTGTAGCTGACGGTGCTGATTAAAATTCTTCTCGTCCCGCAATGTGAGGCACGTCTGGATCTAATTTGTCACTACAGCCGCTCTGTGGTTGAACACTCAATGTGGCTGATCTGCTTGCGGTGTCCTGCCGCCCACCATGCCGGATCCACTATTCGCAAATTTTCAACGCCGTTGCGGCTTTTCGTCTTGACTGGGTACTGTCTCAACGCGCGCGTGCACGCCATCATGTTTCCTACTCGTTGTCACCCTTAAACCCCACTTCTCGTACAGCTCCTTGGCTTGACCTTGTATCTCCTCCTGCGAACCTCTCCCATCCTCTGTGGTCGTGATCTGGGCGTCGGCGTCTACTGAAGCCACCACTTTTCCCTTGACCTTGATCCCCCCTCTTCTGTAGATCGGTGGCGCGGCTAGGGGGGCAGGCACAAGGGGCTGGCTTCACCAGACGATGCCAGCCTTCCTTCTGAGAAGCTGTCTGAGCCTTGTACGAAGCCGCAAGGGCTTCTTTGAAGGCCAGGGGTCTTCTGAGAAACTCCGCCACCTTCTGACAAGGCCCGCCCCCTCTCGGACGCGAGAAGCTGTCTAAGCCTTGCACGAAGCCGCAGGGGCTTCTTTGAAGGCCAGGGGTCTTCTGAGAAACTCCGCCACCGTCTGAGAATTAACGGGCGAAGAACGGTGTAATAAACTTTTTCGCTGTCGGGGGCGCCTGTCCCAGGGCGACTGGAAAGTGTATACCCTTACGGTGGCACCGTAGGGGTATAAACTTTCCAGCCGCCCAGGGGCAGATGCCCCCGACGGCGGAGAGTTTATTTTATACCGTTCTTCGCTCGCTGACTAAGCCTTGTACGAAGCCGCAAGGGCTTCTTTGAAGGCCAGGGGTCTTCCGAGAAACTCCGCCGCCTTCTGACAAGGCCTGCCCCCTCTCCTCGCCATCGCTTGGACATCCATTCCCTGTGTTTTGTTGTCGGTGTCGTGCGTGTTTTTTTCGCCAAATGATCAAGGATGCTCCTCGATGGTCCTCGCCGAGGAAGAAACGCACACGTCCGAGCGATGCCGAGGCCCCCTCTCGGACGCCTGGTGCTTTTTGGGTCCTGCGCAGCTCGGCCCTCCCGTGGCCGCTCGGGGTCGGATTCCCTTCATTCTTGAGGGCGGATCCCTAAGATTGTCATCGCCTTTTGGCGTGTCAATCTTAGGGATAGGGATACGTTCGTGGCCGGTAAACAAGGCCTGCCCCCTCTCGGACGCCTGGTGGTTTTTGGAGGCCCTGCGCAGCTCGGCCCTCCCGTGGCCGTTCGGGGGGCGCGCCGGGCACCTCCGGGGCACGCTCTCTCGGCGAGGCGTGGAGCTGCGGGAGAGCACCCCCCCGCGGCCGGAGAGCACCGCCGAGGGTCGACGAGAACGCCAGAGGAAGCCTCGAGCCTCGAAGCGCATCCTGGACCTCGAGCCTCGAAAACCTCGAGCCTCGAGCCTCGGCGCGCCGCCGTACAGTCGGGGCGTTGACCCAAGGAACCCTAAATCAGGAACGAGGCCCCCTTTTTCCATGAGTTGAACTCCGATCTCGTATCGCAAACCTAAGGAAAACCCGAGGCAAGCTGCGAAACAACTAAGGAACACGGAGCCCCTCCCCAACGAAAAGGTCTCCTTCTTCAGCGCCCCGCCTGTAACCCCCCAAGCCCAATTGCGGATTCGCGCGGCAGCGCCACTGGATCGATGGAGACAGGAGGAGGGTGAGCATGAGAGGGGGGGGAGCTTGAGAGGGTGAGCATGGTAAGGGTTCCTTCTTCAGCGCCCCGACGGTATCCTGGACCTCGAGCCTCGAGCCTCGAGCCTCGAGCCTCGGCGCGCCGCCGTGGAGACACCGCCCGTCTCGCCGGTCGGTGCGGCGGGCCCCTGGGGTCCCGTCGGGGGGGGCGGGGCCGCGCGCCTCTGCCTCGGGCGGGCGCTCGGGGGGGGCGGCGACGCACCTCGCTCCGCGGGGCCGGGGGTGCCGGGCGGGAGGCGCTGCAGGAGGGCGAAGGAGTGGAGGATGAGGAGGGGGGTCCTGAGGAGGGTGACGGGAGTGAGCAGCAGAGAGGATGACGAGGATGGTGAGGATGATGCGGACGATGATGCCTGAACAAAAAGATGATGATGAGGATGATGAGGATGATGATGATGATACTGATGACGATGATGACGATGATGACGGTGATGATGATGATGATGATGATGATGATGATGATGATGATGATGATGATGATGATGATGAGGATGAGGATGAGGATGATGATGATGATGATGAGGAGGAGGAGGAGGATGATGATGATGATGATGATGATGATCATGATGAGGATGTTGATAGCGATGATGATGAGGATGATGATGAGGAGGATGAGGAGGAGGAGGAGGAGGAGGAGGAGGAGGAGGATGGTGATGATGATGATGCAAGGCTCCATAGGAGCGCTATCGGGGCGTGGATGGGTAGCAAAGCAATTCTCGAACGACCACTTTGCGCTCGACCAAGGCCTTCGCCAGGGCACGGAGCAGAGCCTCAACGTCCGAGGGCCCAAAACGGCTATGAGCCCCGAGGAGTTTATAGGAGGCATGGAGCAAGCCGCGAACAATCAGGCAAGAAAGGAGCCCGTCTGAGGTACGATCGGAAATATCGTGCATCAGGAGCCGGCGGATCGGATCCCATTCGCCATACAGTCGGGGCGTTGACCTAAGGAACCCTAAATAAGGAACGAGGCCCCTGTTTCCCTTAACTCAAACTCCGATTCCCCATGGAAAACCGAAAACCTAAGGAAAACCCAAGGTAAACTGTAAAACAATCAAGGAACACCGAGCCCCTCCCCAACGAATAAGGTTCCTTAGTCAGCGCCCCGACTGTATGAAGAGGGGAGCAAGGAGAGGAGGCGAGGCAGGAGAGGAAGAACACACGGGCAATCGAAAAGGTGCAAAATCGTACCGCCTCCGGCTGCAGAGCGCCCCCACGTGCGCGACTGCCTTCCCTGGCGGAGTCGTGCCGCCGACGTGCGCCATCCATTGCAAATGCTCTTGAAGTAAGCAGAAGCAGTAGGAGGGGCGGAGGCGGGAGAGAAACGGAGATTCATAGCAACTCGAACGGTGTGCCGGAGGGTGTCTGTGGGCAAAGAAGGTGGCGGATCCGCGGAAACATCAAGGATGGGAGGGGAGGGGGAGAAGACTGGGCCCTCAGAAACTTGGACACACTGGGCTGCAACTCGTGAGCATCCTCGTCGAGTACGAAGCCCGGAGGGCTCGTCAGAGACGCGGAAATGGAACACATCGGAGAGCATGCCGACTGGTGCCGCCATGCAGGCTCCCGGACAACGGCAAGAACATCCCAGTAATACAGGGCAATGTTTAATACATACGATTTTTTAAACATATAGGATCTTTAATACATGATTAATGTATGAATAAATTTACGCATGAACTCATCGTTGTTTTTAATACAAAATCCCGGCATTTTTAATACATGATCCGCACGCGGAGCATGTATTAAAAACGGCACTGTAGCTCTCAGGGTAGCGCATGCGGTCCTTCATGCGCCAGTACTCCTCGGATTTCACTGCAGGGCGATGCATGGCTGCGCGACTCTCTGCTGAGCTGCTGCGGGGTTCAACCCAGAAGCCCGCGGATCCGAGAGATTGCAACGAGGCAGTCGGGATCGCCAAGCGGAGACCGGCAGTGAGCTTCTGAAGTCCAGCAGTGTCACACGACAAAGCACAACTCGGCACCCTGAGGAACTGCATGACGTGACCCGGCACTGGGAAGACAAGCGAGTTGTATCCCGGCTAGACCGAGCTGGAGGCCGCGCAAGTAGTCGATTCGCAGGCGAAACTTTTGATGAGGCCCCTGCCACGAATCAAGAAGCCCTGATGGCCCCAAGAGGAGGCCCAGATACTTACCGGATGTGCCAAGCTGGAGGGACGAGGCGTCAACTCCAACCGACGCAATCTGGCGGTGAATCTCTGTACCCATCGCAATCGACGTCACGAGGATGACGCATTTCCGGAAGTTGAGATTCAGACCCGTGACGTGGGAAGTGGCCGTGAATATGTCGATCATGTATGGAATGGCGAGCAACATATTCCCACAAGCAACACCGACATCATCGGCGTAAGCAAAAGGGTATGCAGGACATGGACGTAACTTGTCTGCCAAGCATCGCAACAATGGATCACATGATAATGTGAAAAGCAATGCTGGCAAGTGGCAACCTTGTTTCAGACCACGCGTAATACATAATCCGCTGAACTTATGACCACAAAATAGCACATACCAGTACATGTCGGTGTAAAGCGATTGGATGGCACGAATGAAGAACCGAGGAATGCCAAGACGCGAGAGAACCTCCCACAACCACGAATGCTTCAGGGACGGGAACGCGGCCTTCACATCCAGAAAGACCACGCCGGCCCAAGGGAGACCCAGCTACGACACGAACTCTAGAATACGAGCCTCCAATCCGATTATGTTGTCTGCCATGTTCCTGTGTTTGATGCCCCCACGTTGGAAATCAGCTACAGAAAGCTGACACTGCTGGGCCAGCGGAATTCTCAAGGCACCCGCCAAGATCTTGTTATATGGCTCGACATGGTGATCGGATGAGTGTGCCCCAGAGCTCTCTGAACCTCGGTGCCCTGGTCGTTCGTGCCTCCGGACTCCTTCGGCGGGAAAACCGTGAGACCAAATCCAGGAGGCACCGACACTCCTCGAAGCAGCCCTTTTTATCCATAGTAAAGACATTCACGAGCATGACTTCCCCCACACCGCCATCCAGAGTACGGGACCCCATTGGGCCCTGGGGAGGAGTCACGACGAGAAGCTACATATCCATAGAACGTGCTCGAATCGATCTCCCACTCGATACCCGGACTAACATCTAGAACCTGCGTGCGGAGCCAAGCGATGACAGCATCAAAGAAAGGCGGCAAGTCATCAGCAGAGGCAGCATGCATCTTCCCCCAGTAACGTGCCAAATCGCGTGCACTCTCTTCGATGCTTTCGGGTTCGGCGCCATCAGGAGCATATACGGCCGATAGAACAAGGATGATGATGATGATGATGATGATGATGATGATGATGAGGAGGAGGAGGAGGAGGAGGAGGAGGAGGAGAGGAAGTTGATGATGAGGGTTGCGATGATGCGGCTGATGGTGATGATGAGCAACAGGAGTACAGTCAGGCTGCCGAAATAAGGAACGCTGAACAAACAACAAAGACCCATTTTGGCCCCCAAATCGCCTGCGAGGACGAGGAGCGCTAGACAAATAAGCATGGAAAGACCTGAAGAACACCAAGCCCCTTCCGGTCCCAAACTGATCCTTGTATCAAGATGTCGACTGTATGAGGATACGGTCGCCAGCCAGGTCGATCTTAAAAGTCCTCTGCAGACGGCAACGGCCCTGCGCAATCAACCCTCGGAGTCAACTGTCGGGTCAGGCCGAGCGCGGGCCGCAAAATTGAAAGGCAGGGCTCTCGTCCGGCCACGCTGCCGTGGAGCACCCTGGACACAAGAGGCGCAAGGCCTTCCCGATGGCTCGAGAACGCTGCGACCAGGTACGGCATGTTCGTGTCGTGCCGACTTCGGCGTTGGTTCCTGACACCGCGGGGATCGTTCAACCTTCAACGATCGGCCGCTTCAGAATCGTCAGGTCGTTCAACATCGACCGATTCCGGATCGCCGGCGGCATTCAACGTTGAACGCTGGCGGCGGGGTCGCCGCCGGTCGACACGACGCGAACCTGCCGCAGCATCGAAGCGAAATCGGGCAACGGTCAGTCGTGGTCAGTGTCTCTATCAGCACTTTCCTCTGCCGCTTCCTCCACGCTCCCTCCTTGTCCCTTCCCTCCCCCTCCGCCCCCCCCCAAGAATCCAAGTCGAATGGGCATGTCTTGGCCTTCCCACTTGACCCTAAGGTGCTCCGACGCGGCTTCCGCCCTGACTGGGACAATGATCGATCCCATCAGTTCTGTAGGAGAGGCCCAAGGACACCTCCAATGCAAGCGCCTTTGAGGAGAACCACCTCCCACCCGCGCACACCAAGATTGCGGGATTGGCTGAGATATGGCACCATATGGCATCTCAGTGGCAGAGCGGCAGCAAAAGATGGCAAACCCCAGGACACAAAGAGGACTGCGCCCCCATCAGCAAATGCAAGCTGGCTCGCGTGATCGGGCGTGCAATGAAATCCACACCCAAACGAAGCCAGGCTGCTCCAAGTGTTAGGATGGACTTACGTGCTGCCAATTCTGCGAACAAGCCGGTTATGACGCGGATGGAGAACATCGCCCAGCTCGTTTTTGAGTGCCGAGTCAATGCTCGGATTCGAAAACGCCCTCGCAAGTACTACGAGTGCGTGCGCGAATAAGAAGCTGCCACAGAGTGGCCCAACCCTCCAAAAGGGTCACGCTGGGCACATGGCCAACGGCAGAGTGGACACGCCGATTACAAAGAAGGCGTGCGTTGTTTCGAAACTTCTGAAACATACCCATGGCCAAACCAGCACAGGACCCGCGTGGAGCGGCAGCGGAACCCCTGCCTGAAGGGAGACACCCTGCCCAGAGCAAGAGGCCTGCTACGACGACGACCTACAATATGTGGACGATCCTGATCAAGAAGAGAATGCCCATGCTCGTTTAGAGGCCGACACCCTCCGCTCCAGAAGGAGGCAAAACCAAGGATACAGACGCGTGTAACAGTAATGTTAATATATTGATGCATGTTGATGCAGCTTGTTCATGCCACGTCTTGGCTGCAGACAGTTTACAGCGACGTACATCGTCCAACATTGATGCCGAGGGATAATCCCCTCCAGGTCCCTGGTAGCCAAATTGGGGTAAGTGGATTTTCTCTCAGTGAGCCTGTCGACGGCGAGACGCGTGAAAATTAATGTCAAAAAAACGCCCCGACTGAACACGACACATATGTCCGACTATATACGGAATACATGGGCAACATATCCAAGCGTCCCCACAAACAACTCAGAGCGGGCCATGTCCGTTTTGCACTCGAGCGCGTCATGTCCGTTTGTTGTAAAGCATGCGCGGTCGCTTTAATTGTGCTGGGCCTTTGTAGAACTTGTCGCGCACGACACAGTACTAGTAGACCAAACATGCAAACGCAGGGAGGAGGATCATGAGCAGGATCATGAGTAGGAATGATGAGGGCCAAAGAGAAGCGGAACACGATGAGCTTCCTTTAATTTTTGCGCCAGTGACATCGGGTCGGTCCCATCAGTCTCCTGCCCTCGAAGACGAGTTTTTGGGATCCAAAAACTGTAGCTCAAGGGTTGCCTCTCTACAATTGATCTGTTTGCCCCCCTGGCGCTGTCGTCTGGTGGACTGGAAGAGCCTTTCACCCACACAGATTCTCAATCGTTTGAAAGAGAAGCGCTTACATCGCCGGGGATAGTGCTGCGTCCGTCGTCCACAACTCAGCGCAAGAAATAGGGTGGGCGGCAAAAACTCAGACATCCTGACACTCGCACGTGGCCCGGCAACCTAAGATGACTGCCCATCTTGCCCTGCCTGCCTTGCCAGCCCGCCACGTCCCAACTCCTCGAACGACTAGTTCAAATCATATCACACCAACAAACGCGATTGCACATCTGCACCCGTGACCTTCTTCCTCTCTCCCTTTTCCTCCTCCTCTTCTTCCCCAGCAGCAATTTATTCCTCTTGCTTCTCCTGCTCCCCCTCCCCCTCCTCCTCCTCCTCCTCATCATCATCCTCCTCCTCCTCCCGCCCTCCTTGTCTACGAACTCCGCTGTGCGTCATCCCGCAACCTCACGCTCTTTCCTACACGTCGGGATCGACTGGAATCGACGGGCACCCCCCCAGCGAAGAATAAGCAATCCACGCCTATGCAGGCGCGCCACAGCCGCCGCTGCGGCCATGGCCGCCACCGCGGGCACCAGAGCGGTGGCGGCGCCTCCGGCTGTCGCGGTGCCTCTCGAAACTTCCCGCTGCCCTCCTGTCCGACCGCCACAGGGGAGCCGCCAGTGAGTCCGGAGATCTGCTGCCCAGACGAAGAATATGGGGGAAACAAGGGAAGACGTAACCGTTGAGGTCAGTCTGTGCAACTCGGGCTCCCGCAGGGTGGCGCCAGAATTCTTTTCAGGACGAGACCCGTTCACCACTTTGGCGACCGGCGGAGCCCGTATCACCGACAGAGCAGGCCAGATAGTGGCTGAGTGTCCAGCGCTCGGGAGACTTCACCATGCGCTGAGAAAAGGAGGATGGGGGAAGCAATGGAGGACGCGGAAGAAGACTAGGGTAAGCCGGGCATGCGCAATCGATGCTGGCTGGAATACACCCTCCCGTCCCCACGGCCCCTCCTCGTAAACCAGCGCATGTACAACCTGTCACTGCTGCGGTCACCCGCTGAAGCTGTGAGGGCTCCGTTGGCCTGCATAGTGAAAGCACCACGCTCGCAAATGCAAATCAATTGTCATATTGAGATTCGGCCGCGTAGCGGCACAAAACACAAGGAGCTGAGGAGGAATCGGCATCCGTCCATGTAGGTGGGAGAAACATGTAGAAACATGCTCGTGGTAACACAGCGAGAACAACATGCTGAAAAGGCAGAATCCTCCATCCGTGAAGCTGTGGGAAGCAGTACATTTCCCCATGGTTGAAAAACATACCCTGCGACGAACCCAACCCATCTATAATCATGAAAAGAACCGTTGGCCAACATTCCCACGAATGATGACATGGCACGGGCCGTCACCTGCCGTGACTACTTCATGGGAGGCTCACGCACTGTGGGGCTCACAAAACACCGATCAAAGGGCGAGGGCGGGATAGCGGTAATACGGCCACAAACTCGAAGAGGCAGGCGCCGGAAAGAAGAGGATGAGGATTAGGATGATGATGAGGATGCGGATGATAATGAGGATGATGAAGATGATGAATGTGCTGATGATGATGATGACGATGATGACTATGATGACGATGGCGGTGATAATGCTGATGATGATGCTGATGCTGCTGATGATGGTAAGGGGGAGGAGGAGAGGGGGAGAAGGAGGTGGAGGGCGAAAGGTCGCCGCGGCAGCAACGACAGGATGGCGAATGTGTAACAGGAAGACGAACAAGAACGAGAAAAGAGGGGGACGAAGGGGCGACGCTTGAACTCCTACGAGCAGCAGCGCCGCGGGCGTCGCTTCGCCCAATGCACCAGGAACGCTTAGTTATTCCTAGTCCGTGCAATTCGCACCCCCCCCCCCCGGGACGGGCGAGGTCTCGCCTGGATCTGTGTGGTACACCCCCGCGCTGGACCCCCCAGGAATGTGGCTGCAGTGGGGCAATTGTCAGCCCCCGAAGGACGGCGAAGTCCCGCCTGGATCTGCCTGGGACACCACTCCGTGGGACATCCCAAGCATTCCACGAACTTGGCTACAAGCTGGGCAATGGTCCGTCCCAAAAGGACGGCGAAGTTTCGCCTGGATCTGCGTGGGACACCATTCCGCTGTACCTCCCAAGAATTCCACGAACGTGGCTACAGCTGGGCAAATGTCAGCCCCCGAAGGACGGCGAGGTCCCGACTGAATCTGCGTGGGACACCACTCCGCTGGACCTCCCAGCAATTCCACGAACATGGATACAGCATGGATACATTTGCGTAATTGTGGGCCGCCGAAGGACGGCGAGGTTCCGCCTGGATCTGCGTGGGACACCTCTCCGCTGGACCCCGCCAACAAACAGCCCTCGAAAATGGCGACAGTTTCACACTTCACAGCCCCCTAGAGATGCAAGGCTCCAAAGGCAGAACAGAACCGTGGTGCTCAACGAGCGCGGGCCAACGTGCCCTGGCCAACGGCCATCGTGGCCATCGGCCAACACCAAAGGCACTCGTGCAGGAAGGGGGTCACGGGCACAAGCTTGGACCTGATCTCTGGCTTCCCTTCCCTGACTAACTGCCAATCGCGCCAGCAACGCTGTGCCTTAAGGAGGAAATCGCAACAAAAACGAAGGCAAACCAAGGATCGGGATCGGCACCCAAGGGACAAAACACGGAGCGTTGCCCAGTACCCGCGCCCCTCCTAGCATTTCAGCGGTGTGCCCACGGTAAAGAACACGGCAACTAAAAGGTTACAGGCGGGAGTCAACGGCCGTTCACCTCAGACCAGGAGGTGCCACTGGGGCCTCCCCGTGCTCAAGCCGCACCTCTTGGCCGAGGTGGCAGGGCACTAAAAACCCCGGCCTGAATTGCGTTGCTGGTTGAGACTTCCAGATCTCAAGGTTGCATCGTACGCAAACGACAACGTGATGGTTAAACAAACGACGCCGTTCAATCGAGTAACTATTCGAAGCGTTTGAAGCGGGGGTGCGCATCGTTAAAACGACATCCGCATTTTGAAAACGAGTTGCCCCCCACATCCGTGTCATTTGCCAGCCCGTGCAGCGAAAATCAACTAAAGTGCGTGGTGCTAGAACGAGAGCAACACTTGAAACACCAACCGCCCTCCTTCTTTTCACGTGTTGGACATTCCAAGCTTTAGGAGCGTAAACTGTGAGAACATGTATGTATGTATGTATTAATGTCTGTATTCATGTTTCTATGCATGTCTGTCTGTCTGTCTGTCTGTCTGTCTGTCTGTCTGTCTGTCTGTCTGTCTGTCTGTCTGTCTGTCTGTATGTATGTATGTATGTATGTATGTATGTGTATATGTATATGTGGACAGGTAGGCATAATGCAAAGGACGCGCGCTCCATGCGGACGTCTTTGTCCGCACGAGCGCTACCGCTGCCTTGCAGATGCACGGTGAACATTAACAAACAGCGTGCGACACAGTGTCCAACCGCTCCCCGACGTGCTAAACCCCGCGCTCCCCGACAGGCGGCAGGGCCGCACGTAGCGCGCTACCTCGGCGCCAGCAGCCCGGGCTCCAGCCTCTGGATAGCTGCCTGCATCTCGACCAGCCCGGTAGAATTCGCGGCACACGCCTCCGCAACGCAGCTGCCCTGCAGACCCGTCTTGGGATGCGCCTCAATGCACGCCTGCTTCGCCTCCCACAGCAAGTCGGCAGCGCATGCCTCTCTGGCATCATCAAACAATTGCTTACGACGCTGACGCTGCTGGTGCTTGAACTCCGCATTGTCTTGACCAGCGCCAACCGAACGAAAGAGGCTCTCGCCTGTCTGCACTGGGGCCACGCGACCACGGTCCTCGATGAGCATGTAGGCATCGTCGATCCCGTCGCAGTTGAAATTGCCGCACAGCCCTTCCTGGCCCACCCCTAGCTTCTGCATCGCCAGGATCACGCCGCAGCTGTCGGGGCCCAGCAGCATGTGGACTTCCAAATGCGGGGGGAACTCGAAGAAGTAAGACGGCAGAGAATCGCTATAGTTGCTCAGGATGTTCCGCGCCTGCCAGTGCCTCCACGCGGGGTCTCCTCGCCAGTGCCTCGCCGACAGGACGCCGTCCGCGGCCCGGTACCTGGACGGGTACTCGGCCAGGATCTCCTCGCCGTCCCACGTGACGCGGAAGCCGCGGGCGCCCCAGGGCTGGGCCGAGGTACTCGGCCACCAGGGCGCGGCCGCCGAGCAGCGCTCCAGCCACCGCGATGCCAACGATGGCGCTCGCCTCGGGAGAGGCCGCAGTGCGGCCAAGCCGAGCCTGGACTTCCAGGTGGTCTGACCTCACCAAATGGTAATCCGCTGGCTCGTACTCGGCCAGGTCCGGCCCGTACATGCGGTCGAAGGTCACCAGGTGCGCGTCGGCGACCAGCGCGCACCTGCCCCACGGCCGCCCGGTCAAAAACTGCGTCTGGTAGTCGCCGATGTCGCCTCGCTTGCACTCGCTGGTGCGCACATCCCATACTCCGTAGCAAGTGCCGTTGCCATAGGCGACGCCGTCGCAGCCCGGGGTGGCCAAGCACGCCGACGCGCACGCCTCGCGATCCAAGTCGGTAGTTGCCGCGTGCCTCGGCACAAAGGAGTCCCCGGCGCGGCCCACGTGCAGCTTGACAGGCCGCGCAGCGCCGTCGACGGAGCAATCCAGCCTGCAGGTCAGCCGCGCGGCCCCGGCATCCTGTGCAGGGCGTTCCGGCTTCTGGCCTCCATCGGCCGTGGCCGCGCGATCTGGCGAGTCGCTCCAGCCAGGGCCCCAGGGGCCGACCAGCGTGCCGTGCGAGGCGCTGAGGTCACGCTTCCCGCCGAACATAAAGACCCGGCCCTGAGCCTTCTTCTTCCCGGACGCCTCGAAACTCACGGGGAACGACGACGTGTTCAGGAAGAGGAGCGTCACCGCCTTCCTCCGCTGCGCCGCGGACAAGTTGGACATGTTCGACGGGTTGTCCGTCAGGTCTCCCATCCTGGTCGAGCTGAACCTGGCGCCGCCCGGGCCGACGGGCTGGTAGTGCACCGTGGTGTCGTTGTCGAGGTAGAACAACGAGAAATTCTTGATCAACACCGACTCCGCGTCCATCTCCACCTCGCTGCGGTCAATGTCGAGCAGTGTGAAGAAGACGCGGGGCACCTGAACGGGCACGTCCCCACCAGCTTCCATGAAAGCGAAGATCAAGTCGACACTTGTGCCGTACTTGATATTGATCCTGCCCACGAGCCCATTGTGGCCGTTGTGGCGCGCCAGGGCGGGCTCGTACTCGCCCGCTGCACGGAGCACCAGGTCAATGGGCTGGCTGTTCACCTCGCAGACATTCCTGTACCGGACGGCGGGCTCGAAGCCGAAGTCCGGCCCCTGGTCTCCCAGGTTCGAGTAGGCCACGTCCGAGAAGTTGAGGCCGCCGTCGCAAGTCGTGCCGGCGTCGGGCTGCCGGCGTTCGCAGCCGCGACCCCATTGCTTGCAGCACCACTCGCGTTTCGCGGACGTCCATGACTCCTGCTCCTCCTCGGACGCCTCGCAGCTGTAGGAGCACGCGACGGCCTGGTTCCGGCAGCACCACTCCTGCTTCCAGGTGGACCAGCCCCTCTCCCAGTTCGACAGCCCGGCGGCGCAGTCGAACGGCGCGGAGGTGCCCACGAGCGGGCAGGAGGACAAGTTCCTGTCGCGGCCGCAGCACCATGCCAGCTTCATCGGCGTCCAACCAAACTCCCAGTCAGACCTCCCAACACCGCAGTCGTAGAACGAAGTCGTGGAGGTTACCGTGGTCTCGGCCCTGCAGGCCAAGCCGTGGGTCTCGCAGCAGTACGCCTGGTGGATGGCCGACCAGTGCAGCATGGCTTCGTCGTCCGATTCCACTTTGCACTCATAGAGTGGCGAAGACGTAGATGAGGTCACTGAAGTTGTTGTGGATATCGCGGTTGTACTTGTTGTGGACATCGCGGTTGTAGTTACCGTCGTCAATGTAGTCAATGTGGTCTGAGTCGGCTCTGAGCCATTGGCCAGGAACACGACGCGGGCGCCGTTGGAGTAGGCCCGCTGCAGGGCAGGAGCCACCACCACCCTGTGCTTCCCCTTGAGCGCCACTACAGTCCTTGTGTCACTTCTGTGCCTGCCGATCTGGACGGTCGCGCCCACAGCCAGGTCGCCAAAGGAAGATACCTGGAGCTCGCTATCTCCGGCGTGCGCCGGCTCGCTGAGCAGGACGTCCCCGGAGGCGCGGGGCGCCTTGGTCACCGCAGAGCCCTCCGCGAACGGCCTCTCCAGCGGCGAGCCCAGCAGGATCGAGCCGAAGGCGCTGATCGTCTTCGTCTCGGAGCTACTGTACCCGTCGGAGATGATGACCGAATCGCCCACCTCGAACCCTTCCTCTGATGCGACCTGCAGCTCGGCATCCCCAGCGCTCGCGGCAGCCAGCAGCGTTGTCTGCACCTGCTGCGCCTGCGCCAGCTTTAAGACCTTTGGCTTCTCCGTGGGCGCCTTGGGCGAGCTCGCGCTGTACAGCCCTACCGCCAGCACAGTGGAGACAAGCATCAAGCCGATGAGCAGCAGGCCGAAGAACATGCAGCCAGGCTTGACACTCGACGGTCTGATCACGGTGTCCTCCTGCTTGTCGAAGCTGCCCGCGCCCTCGCCGACAAAGCGGAACTCCTCCAATTGCTCGTAGGCCCCCCTCCCGTCGCCCACGTATGACCAGGACGTGCCCCTGCCGCTGCGCTGCTCGGCGAAGAGGCCCTGCAGGCCCAGCCACTCCAGCCACTCTAGGCCTTGGGCACGGGCCGCCTCCGGGGAGCGCCAGGAACGGTAGACCGCGCCAGAGCGGCCGCTGATGCTGCGGCCGTTCGTTGCCCCCTGGTGCAGATAGTCATCGGCATCCTCCGCGTCGTGCTGTATGACGTCGGTCCGCGTCGTGAAGTGATGCAGAGGCACTCGGGGCATCCGGGGGGGGGAACCAATCGCCGGGAGCGGCGCGGCGTAGGGGGGGGGGAGGGGGGCGCGCCGCCCAGCCCCCCCCCTGTGGTGCCTCCCTTGAGCCAAAATGGCTACGGATGTGTATATGTATATGTGTATATAGATATGTGTACTAGAACCACGCGCGCGCTTCGCGCGCGCTTAGGTTCTGTCGAGTCACAGACCCAGGAATCGTTGTGAGAAGAAATTGGTGACGCGAAGCGTCGTGGGGGCGTCCTTGGACGTCTGGGGTCTCCTGGGGCCTCTTGAGGGGCCTCCTGGGGGCCTCCTGGCGGCCTCTTGGGGCGGAAGGCTCGAGCTTGCGGTTCGTGGTCCCCCTCTGGGCCCCCTCTTGGGCCCGTCTTGGGGCCCTCTTGGGCCATCTTGGGCGCCTCTTGGGCCGTCTTGGGGCCCTCTTGGGCTGTCCTGGGGCCCTCTTGGAAGCTTCTTGGGCCGTCTTGGGGCGGTCTTGGGCGCCTCTTGGGCCGTCCTGTAACGTCGGAAAGCCCAAAAGACAACTTTGTTGAACATGTACGTTTTACGAAGGGAATGGGCCAACTTTTGCGTCTGGGGGCCCTCTTGGGACGCATGTTGGAGGCTTCTTGGGGCGTCTTGGGGGCGTCCTTGGACGTCTGGGGTCTCCTGGGGCCTCTTGAGGGGCCTCCTGGGGGCCTCCTGGCGGCCTCTTGGGGCGGAAGGCTCGAGCTTGCGGTTCGTGGTCCCCCTCTGGGCCCCCTCTTGGGCCCGTCTTGGGGCCCTCTTGGGCCATCTTAGGCGCCTCTTGGGCCGTCTTGGGGCCCTCTTGGGCTGTCCTGGGGCCCTCTTGGAAGCTTCTTGGGCCGTTTTGGGGCGGTCTTGGGCGCCTCTTGGGCCGTCCTGTAACGTCGGAAAGCCCAAAAGACAACTTTGTTGAAAATGTACGTTTTACGAAGGGAATGGGCCAACTTTTGCGTCTAGGGGCCCTCTTGGGACGCATGTTGGAGGCTTCTTGGGGCCTCTTGGGGGCGTCCTTGGACGTCTGGGGTCTCCTGGGGCCTCTTGAGGGGCCTCCTGGGGGCCTCCTGGCGGCCTCTTGGGGCGGAAGGCTCGAGCTTGCGGTTCGTGGTCCCCCTCTGGGCCCCCTCTTGGGCCCGTCTTGGGGCCCTCTTGGGCCATCTTGGGCGCCTCTTGGGCCGTCTTGGGGCCCTCTTGGGCTGTCCTGGGGGGAAGCTTCTTGGGCCGTCTTGGGGCGGTCTTGGGCGCCTCTTGGGCCGTCCTGTAACGTCGGAAAGCCCAAAAAGCAACTTTGTTGAAAAATGTACGTTTTACGAAGGGAATGGGCCAATTTTTGCGTCTAGGGGCCCTCTTGGGACGCATGTTGGAGGCTTCTTGGGGCCTCTTGGGGGCGTCCTTGGACGTCTGGAGGCCATCTTCAGCATCTCGGAGCCCTCTTGGAGGCCTCTTGGAAGTTTCTTGGGCCGTCTTGGGCGCTCCTGGGGCCGTCTTGTCTGACCGGGGAGGCCTCCGGCAAGCCCCGACGAGCCTCCGGGCCCCCCGGGGCGCACATTTGTGGTCGGGGTCCCGGCCCCGGGCCCCCGGACCCGGTGCGCCGTTATATGTATATATAGCGTAACGCTTGCACAACCCTGTGTGGTGCGACGAGGAAGGACCAAACACGAGGTTGGAAAGTTCGCAAGCCTCTCCACGGCCGCCCGCGTCTTCCCGCTCCCCTTTTCCCTTCGCGCAATTGCTGTTGCCACGTGTCCTCTCCTCCCCTCTCTCTCGCGCGTCTCAACTCCCTGCTCCTCTCTGCACATCCTCCACCGTGCATCTTCAGACCCGTCATGATGCGAAATTCCCATGAATATAAAGCTGTCGCCACTTTTTGACGCGCCGCGTCGTGACCTGCGAGTTCTTCATTCTTCCGTCTGCACGTTCGCAATCCACTGAAATGCCGCCGCGGCTTATATCAAGTAGTGTTGGAGTGCGGCTTGGAACGTCACTGTCTGTACACTTGTTGCCGTTCCGTCTTGCCCATTTTTGTGAACCATGAGCCACCGCGTTTTGAAGACTCGTATGTCGCAACAACAACTATGCCGCATCAACATCGCACACCATCAACATTCCGTGGGCAGGTCGTCTGTGTGGAAGGGGGAAGGGGGGAGGGAGGTAGAGAGACTAGAGCTGCATACACACGAGTTTCCCAGGAAGTGCGTAGACGACAGCAAGACACGAAAGCGCCGAAGGAGGCAGAGCCAAGGCATAGAAGAGTTGAGGAGGTTGACAAGGAACGCGGGCTATCATGCCCCTTATCGGCGATGAGTAGGCGATTGGGGTTGGTGTATCCCTTCTTGAACCTACCCCCACTGACATTGCCCTTGTTTTTCAAGTCATATCTCCGCTCCACGGCGGCCGTTCGGGACGATCTGGACACCACTGGGAAAATCTCGGCGAAACGCAGCTGCTGGAACGCATCCCGATGCTGGCAAGCCGCTGGGAACCAACGAGAACGCCTGAAAATCTCGAGCCGCGATTCCGAGAAACTCGTCCTGGCCTGAGCCTGTCTTTTCCCCCCGCCCTTTCTCTCCAGCCCGCGGCAAGCCGAAGCCTCATCAATCCAGGTGTCGGAAACAATCAAGCAACACTCATGCAGAACATATGATTTGATTTTTTCGTCTGGCAACACTACAGGGTTAATACATCCTCTGGTCTGTCCCCGCCGGACTACAAATGCAAATGTACACAAAGTGTAGACAATTGCAAAGATACATCATGTGGACATGCGCTGTCCAAGGGAAAACTGAAAGTGCGGAGTATGTAACGTATGAAGGTATATCAAATGTTGGCCGTAAGACGGGGCCAGCGACCTAGCAGATCAGGTGTCGTCCTCTTCTTTGCAGCACATGTGGACCGTAACGCGGGGCCCACTCCCTAGCATAAACGAGGCCTCCGCCGTCGAAGAGGCAAGGCCGAGCTCGCGCGCCCAACCGGTTTGCCACGCACCACCTCGGAAGACGAGGGGGGGCAGGGGCAGCAGGCAGACCTCGAGACGATTGGACAGAAACTGGCCCAGAACGCGTCCTGGGACCCGGACCCGGACTCGGAAGATGATTTGAACCTCCCCCCCCTCCCCCCAAATGCAATGTTGGTTTCGGATCTTCCGATTTGGGGCCTCCGAGCGGTCTTGCGAAAACCTGTCAACTTTGAATTGCGGGGGAGGGGGGGAGTGTTGCTTAATTGTTTCCCTCAACCGTCGTGTCTGCACAGGCTACGGGTCGGAGATCGGGTCGCACAGGGCGACGACGCCGCCGCCGACGACGACGACGGCGACGACGACGACGACGCCGACGACGACGACGGCGACGGCGACGACGACGACGACGACGGCGACCATGACGACGGCGACGACGACGGCGACGACGACGACGCCGACGACGGCGACGACGACGACGACGACGACGACGGCGACGGCGGCGGCGGCGGCGGTGCAGCGCGCGAGGGGGCGCGCCCACTGCCGGCGGCGGGGGCGCAGGGGAGCCCCTCGGCTGCGGACCTGCCCCCCCTCGCCCGATGACGCCCAGGCCGACGCGGCCTCCGGGCAAGCCGTTTTCCCCAGCCGCCCTGTGGGGCTGGGTCCTGGCTTTTAGAGACCCAGACCCCCTCGAATTATGATAAAATCACGACGGGAGGTTTTTCATCATTTTTGGCCTTTGGGGGCCCTTACTGGCCCTCGGGACCGTCAAAAACGACTCAGGGCGAAAAACCGGTCCCGGGGAATGGGTCGAGACCTTGGGGAGTCGACGTCATGAAAAAATCATGACGTCGGGGGTCTGGGGAGAGAGAGAGAGAGAGAGAGAGAGAGAGATCGCCCCGCGCCCTCCCCAACTGCGCAGCACGAACACTGCTCTCCTCTTCCTCCCGGAAACGCCGGTCAGGTCTCCTGGCCTCCGCGCACCACTTCTTGTACGCAAGGTGCCGCGGAGTTGGTAAACGATATGTGTGTCTCTAATCCGAGCGTTTTCAATCCTTTCAGAATGGCGCTCCCGCTACAGCGTTGGCTCCTGCTACAGCGTTGTCTCCACCTGTCCGTTCTCAATCCTTCCAAATCATGTTCCCGCTGTAGCGCTGACCTAATTTTATTGTTATGGTTCTTCCGAATCGTGCTCATGCTGCAACGTTGCTGATCTCATTTTGCGCTTCCCGCTTTTCCAAACCGTCCATGTGGATTTCCGGTCCTGAGTCGTTTCTGATTTTTTTGTTGACCTTGTTGTCAAAATGAATCGCGTTTTGACGCGAGGCCATGCTATGCCATGCTATACCATACATCGCGTACTCTCTCAGGATCATTGCCCTGTTCGACATCCGACTGTGCGAATAAAGAGGATATCTACGCACTGGAAAAGGATGTGAGGGAGGGGTAGGACGTTATGTATGACCCTTGCGCACACAGCCTGCCCTCTCCCCTTCCTCTCCTCGCCTCTCCCCCCCCCCCCTCTCCCCTCCCCATCCCCCTCCTCCTCCGCATCTCCATGTCGGCCCACCCCTCACTCGTTGAGTGGCCTCGCAGGGAACTCCACCGAAGCCCCCACCCATGTTGGCTCAATCCTCACACGTCTTGTGGCCGCACCGGGGGTGTCGGATGTGGTTCCTACCCATGCCAGCACACCCCTCACAAGTTTCGCGGCCCCACAAGGAGCTCCACCGAAGCCCGCAGGAGGGGGGGTTCGCATGCGGCTCTCACCCATTTTCGGCACACCCCTCACACGTCTTGTGGACCCACAGAGAGCTCCACCGAAGCCTCCAAGAACGGGGTTTCGCGTGTGATCCCCACCTGTTTCGGCTCATCCCTCAAACGTTGTGTGGCTTCACAGAAGGCTCCGCCGAAACCCCCAATAATCAAATTTCGCATGCGGTTCTGGCCCATTTCGGTTCGCCCCTCATACCTTCCGTGGCCCGTAGGAAGCTCCACCGAAGCCTCCAGGAGTGAGATTTCGCTTCGGCACGCCCCTCGCACGTTTCGTGACCCTACAGGGAGCTCCACCGAAGCTTCCAAGAGAGGCTTCGGACGTGGTTCTAGATTTCAGCTCGCACCTCACACGTTCCGTGGCCCCACAAGGAACTCCACGGCGGGGGGGTCGCACGTGGTTCTTATTACCTATTTCGGCTCACCCCTCACACGTCGTGTGGCCCCACAAAGAACTCCACCGAAAACACCACGAGGGTGGTTCCGCATATGGTTCTGGTTCTGGCCCATTTCGGCACACCCCTCACATGTTTCGTGCCCTTTCCAAGGAGCTCCACTAAAGCCCCCGGGACAAAAGGGTTTCGCATGCGGATCTTGCCCATGCCGATTCACCTCTGAAGCGTTTGGTGGCCCCGCAGGGAGCTCCACCGAAGCCCTCAGGGGGGGGAGTCGCAGGCGGTTGCTCACCAATTTCGGCGCACTCGTCGCACGTTTCGTGGCTCCACAAGGGGTTCAACCAAAGGCCTAAGTGGCAAGGCGCGCATGCGCCCCCAAGCCCGTTTCTGTACGTCTATCACGCGCTCGGTGGCCCCATGCGGAGCCCCACCGAAGGCGATATGCACGAGTTCTTTATTCACAATCCCACGAGCCCTTTGGGCTAAGGTGGCCTAGCGATTTGTTCGCCCCTCTTCCAACAATCCTCTTCCCTCGGGGACGGGTGCCCTCCCCCATCACTCCCTGAGCTTTTGCGGAGCAAGCCGCGAGGTGTCATGGCGCCAAAGATGGCCCGAGATGGCTGCAAGAGGGCCTCCGCTGCTACAAGATGACCTCCGAAGCGGCTCGAGATATTCGAAGATGGTTCAAACTCGCTTCCGACATGCATCCAAGAGGCCCGACGAAGAGGTCTACGCAGCGGTTCTAAGGGCTCTCGGAGCACCCTCAGGACGCCCCCCAAGAAGCCCAAATCCTTCGACGCCTACGGAAAATTAGTGAGTTGTGTCTTCTCGTCTTTTCGCTTCTGATGCGCGTGCCTTTTGAAGCCTCAAGAGGGCCCACGGGAAGCCCAGAAGGGGCCCAAGAGGCCCCCCAGACGGCCCCACGAGCGCCCAAAAGCGACCCGCGAGCGCCCCAAGAGGTGATTTTGAGTGCTGTCGGGGGGGGGGCAAAACTCAAGGACCCCCACTCCTTTGATCGACGCCCGACAAGATGGCCACAAGAAGCCTCGCAGGGCTCCCAAGAGGGCTCCAATAGAGCCCCAAGGGGGTTCCAAGAGAGCCCATAGACGGCCCCAAGAGGACACCAACATTTCCCCAAGGAGTCCCAAGGGGGCTCCGAGAGGCGATTTTGAGGGCTCTGTCCTCGTGGTTGTCCTCCTCCTCGTCCTCGTCCACGTTCTTGCCCTCGTCGTTATCATTTGCCTTCTGCTCCTCTTCCTCGTCGTCGTCGTCGACGCCGCCGTCGTCGTCGTCGTCGTCGTCGTCGTCGTCGTCGTTGTCGTCGTCGTCGTCGTCGTCGTCATCCTCCTCCTCCTCCTCCTCCTCGTCCTCCTCCTTCTCCTCCCCTTGCCCCCGCGCGGGCCCAAGGATGGCCCGGCGAGGCCCTCCAGAGCCGCGCCCTTGCTCCCAGAGATCTCTCTGTTCGCCCTGGTTGCCCGCTTTGTTTCCCTTCATGTGTCTCTTCGCCCCTTTTCCCGCCAGCTCCGATCGGCAGGGTTTTTGAAAGCGCTGGCGGGGATACGCGAAGCGTGAAGAAATTGATATGGTTGGGTTCTTCTTCAAGATATTATCAGTTCTGTTGTTGTTGTTGCTGCTGATGTTGTTGTTGTGGTTGTTGTTGTTATTGTTGATGCTGTTGTCGTTGTGGTTTGTACGTCTCTGCGAACGATTTTCCCTGCAAAGCAACCTAACAGCGATGTGTGGAAGCATATCTGGGAGCATTCCTTTTGATATTCATGTTGGAGTCCTGTTTTAGAATTCTGATGCCTTCGCAGTCACTGTCGCATCCCGTGCTCTCCGGACTTTCTCGGCCAGCTGCCGCTCTGCAGGGCTACGCTTGGCGTGCTCCTTCGGGTCGCGGCCGAGGTGCATGAGCTCCTCGGTCTTCTGTCTCCGCTGGGCGTCTGCCTTCTGCTGCGCCTTCTGCTTGGCGAGAGCTCCTGCTCCCGCTGCCGCAGCAGGCGGAGAAGCACCGCTGCCTGCCGCAGCAGTCTGAGAAGCGCCGCCGCCTGCGTCCACCCTGACCGCGCTGGCCCTGTCTTGCGCCTGTCTGCGCTGGCGCTGGCGCTGGCACCAGACTGTTCGGGGTGAACCCTCGTGGCAGGCTGCAGCTCGCGGAGCTGGGCCTCCTGCTGCCAGCTCAGCGTCGCTGCTTTCCGTGCTCTGATGAGGCCCGCGGCAAGCCGCTTCTCCTCGGCGGTCGAGCGGCTCGATTGGGTAGGCAGGTGGCCTAGCTGGAGCTTCGCATTGACGAGTTCCTGCGTGGCGGGCTGAGAAGCACCACCATCACCGCCGGCCAATGCGGCTCGCAAGCGGTCGCCGCCACTGCCACTGACAGCTCCGCCTGAGACGGCCGTGACTCCCGCCATGCGCAACCAGACGCCGCCGCGGCCCAAATCGGAAGGAGCCACGGGGGGACACTTGAGCCGGCGGGTTTGGCTTGAGCCAACGTCTTTGGCCTGAGCCGAATGGCACTGGAGGGGAGGAGGAAGAGGAGGAGGAGGAGGAGGAGGATTGAGAAGGAGGATCGACGAGGATGATCGAAAAGGGCTCGAGAGCTCCCTTTGCCAGGACGCCCCCCCCGTGACCGCTTCTCGCGGCGGGGGGGTGCGCCCCAGAACCTTGAGGAGGATGTCGGAACGCGCCCTGGCCAGGGCGCCACCCCCGTGACCGCTTCTCGCGGCGGGGGGAAGCGCCCCAGAGACTTGAGGAGGTGGTCAGAACGCGCCCTGGCCGGAGCGCCCCCCCGTGACTGCTTCTCGCGGCGGGGGGGGGCGCTCCATACTACTTTTAAGTACATACAAATGTATAAAAAATACTGCATATAAGTACCTACGCATGTATACATATTAAAACGTCCTGGATCCCCGCAACTGAGGCTCCAGAGGCCAGACGCCATGAAGGCAAATCTTGAAACGTCCTGGATCCCCGCAACTGGGCCTCCAGAGGCCGGAACCGCTGAGAAAAACCTTGCGTATCCTTCCTCGAACTCCTCCTTCCTCCTCCTCCTCCTCCTCCTCCTCCTCCTGCTCCTCCTCCTCCTCCTCCTCTTCCTCCCTCTGAGCACACCGTGGCGCTCGGCAGGAGGCATCTCTCCTCCTCACTGCTCATGGGCTTTCGGATGCATCAGCCTGCCTCAGCGTCTGCCTCAGCCTGCCTCAGCCTCAGCCGCAGCCTCAGCCTCACTTGAGTTCCCCCATATCAGGCGTGGACCCGCGGCACCCCCGACTGACTTTCCCCATTCAGGCGTGCACCCGCGGCCCCCCGACTGAGTTCCCCCATATCAGGCAAGCACCCGCGGCACCCGTCAGCTGAGTTCCCCCATATCAGGCGTGGACCCGCGGCACCCCCGACTGAGTTCCCCCATATCAGGCGGGCACCCACGGCACCCCCGACTGAGTTCCCCCATATCAGGCGCGGATCCCCAGTTTTCCCCGGCATCCCCCGGATCCTGCCCAGACCCCCCTGGGGAATCAGGATGCTCTCTTTTGACCCCACTAGAAACCTATCAGTCTTCGCTGTTAGGTAACAGTAGCAAGAACGCCCCCCCCCCCCCCACACCCACCCCACAACTTTCTCTAAATGGTGTTAGCTCCCACCTGGAACACATTAGGCTCCACACCGCCGTCATATACAAGCGTCGCGCTTGAAGCCTGGGCTGCGGGACGACCGTGGCCGTCCGCTCCGCCCCAACCTGTTCTCCCCGCCCCCACCCGTTGGGGGTTGCGGGGTCATGTGGCTGTCCCCTGAGATTTCGGGGTGCGGATGGGCTGACCCTGGTCTCGCAGGTCAGCGGTCGTGGCACTGAAGGCGGCGTCATCGAAGTGCGAGGTCTCGCTTTCCGAGCGGTGCGCATGCTGTCGATCATTGTCGATATGGCTCGTCGTCTTGAGCTTGTCACGCGTACGTCCGCAATAGCGTACGGTGGCAAGAGACAAAAATGGCGATGTCGGAACATATTTGTATGTTTGTATATTCGATATGTTTAATGTAAATATGTAGATGTACATACTCGTGTATATATACACATGTATAAAGTACACAACAAACTGCATTGGCGCTTCGCGCGCCTTGGTCCTTCAATTTCGGCCTACGGGCGGAATGGCAGAGCGGTCAATACGTACAAACATTGATAACTCCTTGATGCCGTTTTCGTCGTCGTCGTAGTCGTTAAAACGTATCGTTGCTTCTTATTCCCTGAAGCTCCCTCTCACTCTTCCTCGTTCTCGCCGTACAGTAAAATCCTTTCTACGTCCTCCTCCGCTTTCTGTGCGGATCCTCCTCCTCGGAAAGCCTCTTGGAAGCCTCGCGAAACTTTTTTACAGGCCCGATCTGGAGGACGCCCCCTCACCTGTCTTTTCGTCTGAGCTGGGCATATCCTGACTGAGTGCTTGCCACTCGTTCAGGAAACGCTGCCTTCATCCGCCCCGGTGAGCCTGCCCAGGACAGCGCACATCAAGCTTAATTGTGGACACGGGGCACAATCATACATCGGCGCTCCGAAAGTTTATTCCGATTTGAGAGAAAAGGCGCCGCGCGAATGCAGAGCAAACGCGATGCTGGAAGGGCGCGGGAACGCGCGCCTTCTGGACAGGCGCGAACAACCGCGCCCCCGTGCGAACCCCGATCCCGCGAGCGGCGCGCTCCCGTTTGACAGTGGCTCACCCGGGAAACCGATTCTTGTGCAGAAAGTCCTGCAAGGTCGGCCCATCGGCGGCTCCGTCGGACGAGATCCGGAACCACCGAGAAACCGTTTGCCATCGGATGTTCTAGGCGGTTTGCCCATGTTCGGTTATTTCGGAATGGACCCGAAGACGTCGAGATTTATGTTTTTGCGAAAAGTCCTAGGCGGTTCGCACAATTTCGGGCCGTTCGAATTGGACCCGGATTTTTTTGGCACAAATCCTATTGATTTGGCCACCTTCAGATAGGTCGATAAAATTCTCGGGTCGTCGCATGACCGAACCCGAAAGCTTTTTTCGAGGAAGTCCTATTCCGTTTTCTCATTTTCGGGTCCGTACACCGTTTGGGATTTAAAATCTTAAATCCCGAAAGGAAGCCCGATCCCGTGACCCCGGGCAGGGGTTGCGCTCTGCCCTTGCATTGTACTGGGCCCCTCCAGCCAAATGGGGTGCCGGCCTGCCCATCCGCGCGCCGACTCTGCCCTCGCGACATCGCCCCCATCCGCCCTCGGACCCCGCGAGTCTCATCCTGCGCGCGCAATCCCAGATGGCCCCGGCGAGCACGGTGGCGAAATTGGGGAAACTTTCGGAGCGGCGCAGTAACACACGTCACGCCCGCATAGACGCCTTGAAACGTTCCTCGAAGACCTGTGCCGCTACTCCTGGATATTCCTGGGGCGCCCGCTTGCACAGGTATTTCCTTCGTGCGGCAGCAACTGTGGCGCCTCCTCACGTGGCCAGCGAGCCCAACCAACATTCGGAGTCCATGAGGACGCGCACTAGGTGCGACATTGTAGAAGGCCCCAGGGTCATGCCCAGGAGCAGTCTTTCCATCATGTAGAAGTTATTTCTGCGCCATCCCACAGCATACGACTTTCTCTCCACCTGGCTTTTGTAATATCCCAACAAGCTGGAAGACAAACCAAGCATGGGATCTCGAGCGGCACGGACCCGCCGGTCCAAGCGGCTCTCGGAGACCACTCGGATGAACCATTATTTCTCGCGCGGCCTTTTCTGAGGCCCAGGAACATAGAGGAGTAGATGGGGTCGGAGGATCGCGCCGCATCGCCGACACATCGGCGACACATCGGCGATGCATCGGAGATGCATCGGCGATGCACTGGCGATGCATCGTCGACTTCGGCGATGCATCGGCGACGCTGACGTGAAGTAGAGCGGGCTGCACATCGAGCCGCGTCGGCGATGCACGGCGATGCGGCTCGAACCTCCGACCCCATCTGCTCCGACCCCATCTGGGAGGCCTAGAGAACAGTGGTTATGAATCCACGCCTCCAGTGCCCCAAAATGGCGCCAACGGCCAAACTTGTGTTAGGTCGGGCTTGTCCCCCTACAGGGGTATTTTCGACGGAAAAAAATACAAAAATACCCCAAAAAGGTAAACCAAAAATACCCCAAAAATAATGCCCAAACCATTTTGGACTATGTTTGGATCATTTTGGGGGTATCTTTTATTTTTCGTTGAAAATCCCCCTGTAGGGGGACAGGCCCGACTTAAAAATTGTGCCACGTTGGGGGTTGCCTCGGCTTCCGGTGCCTCCTCCTCCTCCTCCTCCTCCTCCTCCTCCTCCTCCTCCTCTTTCTCTCTCCTCCTCCTCCTCCTCCTCCTCCTCCTCCTCCTCCTCCTCCTCCTCCTCCTCCTCCTCCTCCTCCTCCTCCTCTTGCTCGCCGTAGCCATTCTGGCTCGAACCTTCTGCTGCTCACGACGGGTTGCCGTCCAGGGGGGCGGCAGCGAAGAGGCTGCGCGCGGCTCGGACGTCCCTTTCCTGTGTTTTTTTCGGTGTAGTGCGTGGTTTTCTCGCCAGATGATCAAGGGTGCTCCTCGACGGTCCTCGCCGAAGGAACAGCGCGCACGTCCGAGCGATGCCAAGCTCTCGATCTACCAAGGCGGTGTCGTTCTCGCACTGGCTTGCTGCCGATCGGCGGCGAGCCGGGGGGGGGAAGGGAGGAGGGGCGTGCCTCCTCAGAGGGCTCGGAAGTCCCCCGGACTTCTGAGAAGTCTTCCAAGCCTTCCCCGAAGGCAGAGAAAACTTCCCAGAAGGCGCGAGGGCTTCTGAGAAATCCCGCCGCCTTCTGAGAAGGCCTTCTCCTTCTCAATCCCCCCCTCGCTCGCCGTCGAGCCGATGTCGCGTGTGACGACTCTCCGGTGGATTAAGACGAAGAAAAACAGTCAAGCGTGGACTGGCCCTGGTCTGCGGTGCTCTTTAACTTCACTTGTGTGCAACAACTCTCCTAGGAATTGAACTGCTTTCGCAGAAGCTGGTGGGGATACGCGACGCGCCAATGATCAGCTGGAAGTGCGTGTGCTGCTAGGTCCATGCGGGCTGCGTTGACTCAGGGTCGGACATAATCTGGTCGAGTCCCGAGCTCATACGCAATGTCGTGGATGCTCGTGTAGGCCGTCACTCCCCCGAGCTCCTCCTCCTCCTCCTTCTCCCACGCATCAGGCCCCCCTTCAACTTCCCCTCCTCCCCTTCCTCTTCTCCTGGTCTCCTCCTCATCATGTCTCTCCACTGCGGACTTCCCACAATGTGGGCCCCTCCCCTCCCTCCCGCCGTCTGCCGCGAACAAGCGTGCCGCGCCGTCCGTGACGATCGCTGTGACCTCGAGATGCGGGGAAGAATCGAGCAATGGAGAGGGACAGGACGGATGCTCCAGGAGCGCGGCGGCAGCAGGGCTCCCGCTGGGAGGGGCGGGGGGCACGCAAGGGCATGGGCGCATGACAAGATCAACGTCTGGCTCTGCGATCCCTCGACGGGCTCACGCCTTCTTGCACCTCCCCGTACACATCTCCCTTCCGGAGTCCTCGAGTCCGCTTCCCATCGGCAGCCGTGGCCATCCTCCGGCGGGATACGCATTGCGCTCCCTCGGTGGATTTTGCCTAGGGGGGTGCGTCCAAGAGAGGGGGGTTCGCAAATCATGGCCCGAGGCACGTGCGCGGCCCTGGGGGTGGGGTCGGGGGACGACTTGAAACAAGAAGAGGCGCCGTGAAACCCGAGGAAATATCACGACCAAACCATACAGGGCAACTTTTACTACATTTTTTGAAAAAAAAATAGGATTTTTAATACATGATTAATTTATGACTTCATTTATGCATGAACTCATCGTTGTTTTAAATACTGGTTCCCTGCATCTTAAATACATGATCCGCACGCGGAGCATGTATGAAAAACGGCACTGTATACGCACCCCCTCTATTCATCACCATCACCGCCCTCTTGGCCGTTCCCGACTCCCGTGAGAATCCGGTGTAAGTCGCACGCGTGCTGACCGATCGGCTCGTGGCAAGCAGCCGTCGCTGCGCAAGTCTTCTCGTTGCCACACCCGGGCCCAACATCGACGGCCGAAACGGAGACATCGAGCCGTGGCCCGAGCTCTGGCCCGACGGCCGAAACGGACACATCGAGCGGAATATCCTCGACATCCGGGCAAGGAGGTTCCGAGAGGGAGGCCCGCGGCAAGGAATGGATACGCTTTTCGTTCCAAGCATCCCCTGGTGTTGGGTCCTAGCTTTGACCAGGCTGCGCCCGCGTCCCTCATCTCCTCCTCGCCTCCTCCTCGTCCGTCTCCCCCTCCTCCTCCTCTTCTTCTTCCTCCTCCTCCTCCTTCTCCTCCTCTTTGCCTCTGACCTCAGCACGCCTCTGTTTCGACACATCCCTCGCACGTTTCGTGGCCCCATCAGTAGCTCCACCGAAGGCCCCAGTGGCAAAGTTCGTATGCGGTTCCCCGCATATTTCGGCACACCCCTCACGCATCTCGTGGCCCCATAGGGAGCTACACCGAAGGCCCCAGTGGCAAAGCTCGCATGCGGTTCCCCGCCCATTTCGGCACACCCCATAGACATCTCGTGACCCCATAGGGAGCTGCACCGAAGGCCTCGAAGGCAAGGTTCGCATGCGATTCCCTACCCATTGCGGCACACGCCTCACGCATTTCGTTGTCCCCAAGGGAGCTACATCGAAGGCTCCAATGATAAAATGTGCATGCGGCTCTCCGCCAATTGCGGCACACTCCATACACATCCCGTGACACCATAAGGAGCTTCACCGAAGGCCTCGAAGGCACAGCACGCATGCGGCCCCCCGCCCATGTCGGCACATCCTTTACACATCTCGTGACCGCATAAGGAGTTCACCCGAAAAACCCAAAAACACAGTTTGTATGCGGCTCCCCGCCCATTACGGCACACCCCTTGCACATCTCGTGACCCCATCGGGAGCTTCACCGAAAGTCCCAGTGGCAAAGTTTGCTTGCGGCTCCCCGCAGATTGTGGCACACCCCTTGCACACCTCGTGACCCCATAGGGAGCTTCACCGAAGGCCTCGAAGGCAAAGTTCGCATGCGGTTCCCCGCCCATTTCGGCACACCCCTCACGCGCTTCGTGGCCCCATAGGGAGCTATACCGAAAGCCCCAGTGGGAAAATTTGCATGCGGCTCCCCGCACATCTCGGCACACCCCATACACACAGTTTGTATGCGGTTCCCCATTCATTTTGGCACACCCCATACACATCTCGTGACCCCATAAGGGGCTTCAGCGAAGGTCCCAGTGGCAAAGTTTGCATGCGGCTCCCCACAGATTGTGGCACACCCCTTGCACACCTCGTGACCCCATTGGGAGCTTCACCGAAGGCCTCGAAGGCAAAATTCGCATGCGGTTCCCTGCCCAGTCCGGCACACCGCTTACACATCTCGCGACCACATAGAGAGATCCACCGAAGGCCTCGAAAGCAAAACTTGCATCCAGTTCCCCGTCCATTCCGGCACGCCCCTTGCGCATGTTGTGACCCCATGGAGAGCTTCACCGAAGGCCCCAAAGGCGAAGTTTGCATGCGGCTCCCCGCAACTTGTGGCACACCCCTTGCGCATCTCGTGACCCCATAGGGAGCTTCACCGAAGGCCCCAGTGGAGAAGTTTGCATGCGGCTCCCCGCACATCTTGCGACCTCATAGGGAGCTACACCGAAAGCCCCGGTGCGAAACTTTGCATGCGGCTTCCCGCCAATCTCGGCGCACCCCATAGACATCTCGTGATTCCATAGAGGGCTTCACCGAAGGCCTCGAAGGCAAAGTTCGCATGGGGCTCGCCGCCCATGTCGGCGCACCCCTTACACATCTCGTGGCCCCATAGGGAGCTCCACCGGAGGCCCCAATGGCACAGGTTGCATGCAGTTCACCGTCCATTTCGGCACACCTTTCACGCGTTTCGTGACCCCATGGGGAGCCACACCGAAGGCCCCAGTGGCGAAGTTTGCATGCGGCTCCCCGCACATCTCGCGACCTCATAGGGAGTTACACCGAAAACCCCAGTGCGAAACTTTGCATGCGGCTTCCCGCCAATCTCGGCACACCCCATAGACATCTCGTGATTCCATGGAGAGCTTCACCGAAGGCCTCGAAGGCAAAGTTCGCATGGGGCTCGCCGCCCATGTCGGCGCACCCCTTACACATCTCGTGGCCCCATAGGGAGCTCCACCGGAGGCCCCAGTGGCACAGGTTGCATGCAGTTCACCGTCCATTTCGGCACACCCCTTACACATCTCGTGACCCCCTAGGATCTCCACCGAAGGCCCCAATGGCACGGGTTGCATGCAGTTCACCGTCCATTTCGGCACATCCTTACACATCTCGTGACCCCATGGGGAGCTTCACCGAAGGCCCCAGTGGCAAAGCTCGCATGCGGTCCCCTGTCCATTTCGGCACACCCCTCACGCGTTTCGTCTGCATGCTGCCTCTTGCCAACTTCGGCACGTCCCATACACGTCTCGTGACCCCAATAGGGAGCTTCGCCCCACCTCTTGCGACCCCTGCCTTTCTTTTACTCCTGGCACTCAACCACGCTTCGCTCGAGGGAGGGAGGGAGGAGACGGCCATCCCTGCGCACGCCGCGGGCCTCGGGGCCAACTGCGAGCATCGCCCGCTCCTG